TGTAAGGAGACAGGCAGTTTTAAATATAACTGTCTGAAATATAAATTTGTATAATATTTTGCTAAGCAACTTGGAAATATGTATCAAAAGCATAAATTTACTCATTTTATCTAACAATAATTATGTAGCTGAGAGTATACTATGAAAGTATAATTTTGAAATAAAAGTTAATACAGAAATTAACACTATTTTACTTAATAAAAACCTGGAAACAATCTAAATATCTCCAAATAGGGAGATGATTAAGTGTATTTAATACATTCATAATGTACAATATATACTTTTCAAGTTTTTCAAACTTGCTTTGTTTTTAATAAATAATATGTGTTCATTATAAAGAATTTGAGCAATTCAGAAATAAAGACAAAGCTATACATTTCCAAACTCTCCTGGACCAAAATAATCATCACCAACCAAAGAAAATTAGCAATTTAGGCATTGCTCTATGTATATAAATAGGTAGACAGATCAAGAAAATGGTAAGAACTAAACACTTATTGAAATGACTTAAAAAAACAGACAATACTAAGTGTTGAGAAAGATGTAAAACAGCTGCAACTCTCACATGTTACTGGTTGTGATACAAAAGAGAGCCATCATTTTGGGAAACAGTCTAGCATAGTTTTTCAAAAAGTTAAGTAAATACAGTTACACTATGGTCCTGAAAAAAGTTTAGGTATTTATCTAACAGAAATGAAAACCAGTTTCACACAAAACCTGTGTGTGAGTGTTAATAGTCATAAAAGATGGAAACAATTCAAATGTTTCTCAAATGGTGATATATACATAATATTCATCAATAAAAGAGAACAAACACACAACGACTTGGACAGCTCTCAGAAGCATTGTACTAAATAAAAGAAGTCAGATAAAAAAGTCAGACTCAAATGCACTATGATTCCACATATGTGGTACCCAGAAAAAGATAAAATTATTGGAGCAGGTAACATATAAGTGGTTGGCCAGCGGCATTTGCTGAGGGAGGGGGAGAGGATGAGAATGAGGATGACTACAAAGAAGTCCAAAGGAAATTTTTGTAATGATATAAGTTTTCTATATATTTCTTGATTATGCTAGTGGTTACATGACATTTCTCAAAACCCACAGTGTTTATCTAAAAAAGGGAGTTTTATTGTTTATAAATTATACCTGACAAAAACAAAGACAACAAGATATCAATGTGTTGTTCTGCTATTTAAAATATTATATAGTATTAGATTTAATTTTACTTGATTAATTATAGAAGAAAAATAAAAGGAAATAAAAACAAAAGGAAAGCTGAAATTCTGCCTTATTATTCTATATGACAGATTATTTTCTGTCATATAGAATAATAAGATTATTTTCTAAAGATTATTTTCTTTAAGATTTCTAAAAGATTATTTTAAGAGTAAGAAAATAATCTGGGAAAAATTGTAAGAAACTAGAAATAGAATTATTTTTAATCATGTTTTCACTAGACACAGAACAGATTGACTCCTTGTTATAAAGATGAGAAAATTAACATTTGACCATTCTCTCCATCTTCCCTCTTCCTCCTCCTGATTTTATTCATTATTTGTTTTGTATTGTCAAAGTTTCTTCTGCTTACTTTCTGTTTTATAACAACAAACTGCAAATTATTCAGTGTTAATTCTATATTTAAGATAATCTCATGCGCAATGCTCTAAATCATATTTGTCTTCTCCATTTCAATTAATTTGACAAATTTGTTTACTTTTTGTCATCATCTAAGTTTTCTCCTTTTAAATTTACAATGAGGACGTGAAGAATAGTTTCTGCAGTTATAATCTTGCGTCTCTAATATTTTTTTAATATCTGTTGCCTTTAGATATGCTTTTTGATCTACATCATTGTGGAACTATTTTTACTTTGTCACAATCGTTTTCCTCCTGAACATTGTTGAAAAACATTGACTCCTGTCATTGAACAGGGTGGAGGAGAAGTTTACTCTTTTCTTTTTTCTTGGAGGCTACTCATCTTTCTCTCTCAGGATCTGTGATTAATTACTTTTTTCTTGAAGTCTAAGACACCAAGATGTGTTTTGGTTGATAGTGTGCCCTTTTAATTTGCAAATTTAGTGCAAAATAAATTTAATTTTATTAGTCCAAGAAAAATTTCTTCTCAATAGGTTTGAATGCTCTTTGTTTGTCAATTTGTTAAGTTTTAAAATTTATAGATGTCCAATGTTTGCATATATAAGATCATTCTTAGCTATTTTCTATTAGCTTTACTCTGTTGCTTTAATCTCTATATTTTTTGTAAACATTCACTGTACTTGGCTCAAACTTTTTCTCTTTTGAATTATCAGTTACATTTGTTGTGTTTCTTGCTCTTTCTAACCTATTTGTTATTTCTCTAACTATGTAATTTCCATCCTTAATAGGTTTCCTTAGATTTGTAATTTATTTTCCTTTTCATTCTGTACATATTACATTTGTGTCCTTAGGAAGATTTTTTTACAGCACAAAATATATGGAATTATATAATGTGAATAGATCCACTGAACTAATTTGCAGTCTATTTTAGAATACCTGGTCTCTGACATTTATGAGGTTCCTTTAAATGTCTAATACCAGGGTTCCCCCCACCTAATTAGGAAGTGTTCCCCATTCCTATGGATGTCTAGATAACTCTCTTGGACTGATTGATACAAGGCCCTGGAGCCTACATCCTTCTGGGAATGCCAATTTCATTGGACCATTCCCATTTCATTTGTTTCTTTCCAGCAGGTGTTGCCACTACTTCATAGGAGGAGGAAGGAAGTCCTAGATAAGGATATTCTCAGAATAGATCTCTCAGACTTGGAGGTGTTGGTGAGAATGCTGAGGTTTGTGTTCACTCATCAGTGAAGTGTTTGTGGGGAAGAACAGTGATTATGGGAGCCACATTCCTTTGTATTGTACTTCTCTGAAAATGTTCTTAATCTTTTCCCCTGGTTTTTACTCTGACATTTGTGAGATTAGTTCATCCTTTCATAGTGGGTCACTGTAAGGCACTCCTGCTACTTCCAGGACAGTATCCTACTTTCCAGTCTGGGGGTGCCTGACTCTGAAACACAAAGACAAAATACAAGTTCTGCAGTTATTTCAGTTGCAAACCACAAACTCTAATTAGAAAGTATCTTTCATTCAGCAAGTCTTTGAACTCATCATTAGAAATTCTTCTAAGAAATCTATTCATTCACACTAGTACATAAAGTATGTATGTGGGGGAGATAATCTGTTGAAATTTAAAATGGCACTCTAAGAAATACACTTCATTGTGCTGATACTTTTAAGCATTTAGGAATAATGTGCCCATTATGAGTAGCTCTTCAATTCAGGAGGTTGTTTTCACCTTATGTTCAGTTCACTACATCTGCACATTAGCCAATGTTTACTCAGATGCGTTCTACGTTTTTGTTTTGACATGACCACTGACAAAATTCCCTCAGCTTCCAGTATTGGGTCAAACCTAACACAGCCAAACCCTTTCTTGAAGCTGTATTTTCCCACTACTGTGATGCAGTATACGTTGAGAAGTCTGCATAAAGAGAGTGTTGTCACAAATCCAGAGGTCACTGGTTAATCTGCATGAAGACCTGTGGGAGGTGCTGTGTCATGAAGATTGATCTTGTAGAAAATTTGAGAGGCCTTAAGATTACATCAGGAACTCCTGGTCCAATATTGCACACGGTAGGTATTCAGCCTATACTTCATAATTGATTTTCCTTCTGGAAACTTATAAAAGCTTGTAACAAATATATATATATGTATATACACACATACATATACATACATACACACACACACAGAGTCATTTCCCTTAATCTCACCTTGGTGTGTTTTTTTAATTAGGTTTAGAGAAATGAAAACAAACCAACTTATTGTTGTTGGAATGAAAAATTCATAGTTTGGGTTGATTTTGAAAACTGGAAGAAATTTACAGAGAGATTTCCCCTGCCATCACTCTTCCCCTCCAAAATACACTAATACAATAAGAAAATTTTAATAATTGGTTAAGGTTCCTATGTTTCAAAAATGGAAGCAGAGTTTGTTATCATCTCTTAGAAAATATTCTTGCAGTTTGATCTAACTTTGTGTAACTTTCTTCTTAAGTAATTAGCTGTGGAAAGGATGGCTTTACACATTGTAAGCAGCAGGCTGTGGAGATGCTAGTGTTAGTCAAGGGGGCTTGTAGCAATACTCTCTACTGTCTTTCAGCCTTCTGGTCCCTTCATGACCACCTGATATTCTTCTGCTGGAATTAAGATTGGTAGCTGTGGTCAGCAAGAGGAGAGAATGCAATTCTTTTAGTCAGCTCTATACTGCTAATCAAGTTGAAGAGTGATGAAGATGGGTAGAGGAGATAAAAAAGTTGCTTCTTCAAGGCCATGCTATTCAGGCCTTTATCTAATTTATAAGCTTTATCCACCTGCTTCCTTGCTGTACCCACCTGTTCCTAATCTCTTTGCATTGATCTTAGGTCTGCAAACTTTAGGAAAATAAAGATGCAGCTTCCAATTACAAAATGTTCAGAGAAAGACTTTTCTCACCAGACAGGAAAGGTCCTTGTAAGCCTCACTCTGGTCTGTGCTATGTTCACCAGTACTATGAAACATTAGCAACATTCAGTTGAGGTAACACAGCAACAGGGTTATGGGTTGGACCTTCATATAGGCCTTGTTGAGGGGTAGCAGGGTGAGCTGTTATTGTTATTAAAAGAAAAGAAAAGGATTTCTTCTCATTCACTTCAGAACCATATGAAACAAAAAAGAATACTTTGGAAAGACAACAGGCTAAATACAAAAACTGCAATTACCATCTATTAATTAATATTGTTTGGTAAAAGAAAAAAATATATGCTGTTGGGCTTGGTACCCTTTAAGACATTGAAAAATCAATCTATCAATCAATCAAACAAATAAGGTACTTTGGAATTTCACAACTGATTCCAAGGACATGCTATAGGAATTGCTTAAGAATTTGGAACTGTTTTTCTAAAATATATTGCATTAAGTGCTTGCTTTGGCATCGCATTTACTAAAATTGGAATGATACACAGAAGATTAGCATAGCCTGTGCACTAGGGTGACATGCAAATTTGTGAAACATTCCATGTACTTGACCCGCAATATATGCTGTTTACAAGAGACCCACCTCAGAACAAAGGATCTATACAGATTGAAAGAGGAGGGAAGGAAAAATATATTCTAAACAAATGGACATTTAAAAAAAGGTGGGGTAGCAATACTTATATCAGACAAAATGGAATTCAAAACAAAGACCATAAAAAAAGACAAAGAAGGTCACTACATTATACTTAAAGGAGAAGTACATCAAGAAGATATAACCCTTGTAAACATACATGCATCCAACATAGAAACAACTAAATATACAAGGAAAATCTTGGAGGACTTCAAGAAAGCTTTCAACAGCAACACTCTCATCATAGGGGATTTTAACACCCCATTGTCTACAATGGACAGATCTTTCAAGGAAAGAATCAACAAGGATATTGTGGCATTGAACAACTCTCTAGGTCAAATGGGTTTAATTGACATATTCAGAAACTTCTAACCCAAAGGAGAAAAAAATATATTTTTTTCAAGTGTACATGGGACATTTTCAAAGATAAATCACATGATAGGACACAAAACAAACATTAACAAATTTAAGAAAATTGAAATCATATCAAACCTGTGCTCAGATCACAATGGCTTCAAGCTAGAAACCAACCTTAAGAAAAACACTTAAAAGCATTCAAATACATGGAGACTAAATAACATGCTATTAAATAATGAATGGATTAACAATGAGATCAAGGAAGAAATCAAAAAGCTTCTGGAAACAAATGAAAATGAACCCACAACAGCCCAAAACCTATCAGACACAGCAAAGGCAGTCCTAAGAAGGAACTTTATAGCAATACAGGCCTACCTAAAGAAGATAGAAAAATATCCAACAACCTAACCCTGCATCTAAAAGAGCTAGAGGAATGGCAACAAAAAAAGACTATAGTGAGTAGCAAAAAAGAAATAATCAAGATGAGAGCAGAATTAAATGACATAGAGACTAAAAAAATAATTCAAAGGATCAATGAATCCAGGAGCTTATTCTTTGAAAAAAACAAACAAAATCTACAAGCTTTTAACAAGACTCATCAAAAAAAGTGGGGAGAAGACTCAAATAAATAAAATCAGAAATGAAAGAGTAGAAGTTAACCTATGCCACAGAAATACAAAGGATTATAAGAAATTACTATGAACAACTATATGCCAAGAAATTGGATAACCTGGGTGAAATCGACAAATTTTTAGTAATACACAATCATCCAAAACTGAATCAGGAAGAACAGAAAGCCTGAATAGACCCATAGCAACTAGTGAAATTGAGGTAGTAATCAAAAAACTCTGGCACACAAAAGCCCTGGACCAGACATCTTCAGAGGCAAATTTTACCAAACATTTAAAGAAGAACTAACTCTTATTCTCTCAAACTATTGCAAAAAATTCAAGAAAAGGGAGACTCCTAAATTCTTTTTACAAGGCTAATGTTAGCCTAATTCTAAAACCAGGTAAAGACACAACAAAGAAAGAAAGCTATGGCCCAATATCTCTGATGAATATAGATGCTAAAATTCTCAACAAAATATTGGCAAACTGTATCCAGTAATACATTTAGAAGATCATACATCATGATCAAGTGGGTTTCATCCCAGGGATGCAAGGATGGTATACTATTCCCAAATCAATAAATGTAATACACCACATAAACAAAAATAAAAGACAGAAATGACATGATCACATCATAGATGCTCAAAAAGCATTTGATAGCTTTTTCAAATTTATGATTAAAAAACACTCAGCAAACTGGGAATAGAGGAGGCATACCTCAACATAGTAAAAGCCATGAAGTACAAGAAAACTACAGCTAACATCATAGCAAATGAGCAAAGCTAAAAACTTTCCCCATAAGATCAGGAATAAGATAAGGGTGTCCCCATTCACCACTTTTATTCAACATAATATTGAAAATTCTTGCCACAGTGGTCAGAGAAGTAAAAGAAAGAAAAAGGCATTCAAATTGGAACAGCGGAATTATTTACAGCTGACATTATAGTTTACATAGAAAAACATATAGTCTCCACCATAAAACTACTCAGCCTAATAAATGAATTAGGCAAAACAGTGGAATACAAAGTCAATATTCAGAAATCAAAGGCATTTTGTACACCAACAACAAACTAAATATCAGAAAGAGAAATGAGGAAAAAATATCTCATTTACCATAGCAACAAGAAAAATAAGTACTTAAGAATAAATGTAACCAAAGAGGTAAAAGACCTGTACTCAGAAAACTACAGAACACTGAGGAAAGAAATTACAGAAAATACAAATAAATGGAAGTATATACCATGTTCATGGATTAGAACAATTAATGTCATTAAAATGTACATACTACCTAAAGCAATCTATAGATTCAACACCATTCTTGTTAAAATACCAATGGCTTATTTCACAGATCTAGAACAAATATTTCAAAAATTTATATGGAACCAAAAATGAGCCTGAATAGCCTCAGCAATCTTGAGAAAGAAGAATAAAGTAGGACAGATCACAATACCTGATAACAAATTATACTATAAGCCCACTGTAATCAAAAGAGTCTGGTACTGTCAAAAGAACAGATACACAGATCAATGGAACAGAATAGAGAGCCCAGAAACGAACCCATGTCTGTATGGTCAATCAATATTTGACAAAGGGGGCAGAAGCATAGAATTAATAAAAATAGCCTCTTTAACAGATGGTTAAGAGAGCTGGACATCTACATACAAAAAAATGAAACTAGACCACCAACATAAACCATACACCAGAATAAACTCAAGGTGGATAAAAGACTTTAATATAAGTCGTGACACCATGAAAGTCCTAGAGGAAAACAGGCAGTAAAATTTCAGATATCCCATGCAGCAATATTTTTGCTTATATATCTCCTAAGGCAAGAGAAATAAAGGAAAAATAAACAAATGGGACTACATGAAGTTAAAAAGCTTCTGCAAGGCTGAAGAAACCATCATCAAAATGAAAAAGGAACCAAATATATGGGAAAACATATTTGCCAATGATACCTCAGACAAGGGTTTGATCTTGAAAATTGATAAAGAACTCACATGACTCCACTCCAGAAAGACAAAAAATTCAATTAAAAAATAGGCAAAAGACCTGAAAAGACACTTCTCCAAAGAGGGCATACAGATGGCCCATAGACATATGAAAGAATGCTCAACATCACAATCCATCAGAGGGAGGCAAATTAACACTACAATGAGATATCACCTCACACAGGTCAGAATGGCCATTATTAATCAATCAACAAACAAGTTCTGGCAAGGATGTGGAGAAAAGGGGAATCCTAGTTCATTATGGGTGGGAATGCAGACTGGTGCAGCCACTGTGGAAAACACTATGGAATTTCCTCAAAAAATTAAAATTGGTACTGCCTTTTGATCCAGTGATTCCACTGCTAGCATTATACCCTAAGAATCCTGAAACACCAATTCAAAAGAACCTATGCACCCCCAAAACACAAATACTATATGATCTCACCTGTGAGAGGAACATAATGAACAAAAAAAAAAGGTAAAAATAGAACTAGAGGCATGGAAACAAGGAACAGACTGACGGCAACCTGGGAGAAGGGCAAAGGGGAGAGGGAGATAAGAGTGGAAAGAAGAGGAAGGGACTAGTCAAAGAGCATGTATGAATGACCCATGGACATGGACGACAGGGTGGGGATGGACCGTGGGAGTAGGGTGTGGGCTGAGCAGCGGAAGGCAAAAGGGGGAGAGAAAAATTGGGACAACTGTAGTAGAACTACAATGAAATATTTAATAAAACACATACAGTGCATTAACATTTTGAAGTGAGTTGAAGAAATACAATGGAATAAAAATAGACATAGAAGAAAAATTAGTAATGACTGGGCAGAGACTTCATTTGGAATGAGAAAAAAAATATCCATGTAAAGCTTGGCACTGTTAAATTTCAAATGTGGTTTCAAAGCTTTATCTTTCAAAAGAAACTTCAAATAAAGTCTGGTAAAGCCCATGGGGCATCTTATTGAACCATGTGGGGAAGTCCCTGCCATGTGCTTCTTGGCTTTGAATTCCTTGTGCAGAGTCAGCCACTCCTCTCCAGACAGTGCCCATATTCCCCAGCAATTCTAAAGTTGGTTCCTGTACTAAAACAGCCAACGGCAAATGTTCCATGGAAATAGATAGCTATTAATGTGAAAGAAACATGTAGGTCTTGTGTATTTTTGTCTGTCTATCCAAGGATCTAGACGTGTGACTGTTTGTATAATTGTCTTTGATGGGCATTTGCATACATATTTTAACCCAAACATTTATCACTTGTTTTGTATACTTTCTGTTATCAGAAGTCTAATATCTATAGATATTTACTTGTCGACACTTTTTTGTGCTCTTCTAATGCAAAGCTTAACATCTATAAAATGGAAATATTATACAATGCTGAAATACTCCCTAGCCTTGTAAGGATAAATAGTTCTATACAGTGTAATTTTAGTGGAAACAGTTTTTTAGTTATATTCTAAAATTTTAAAAAGATGCCAATCCATATATATTATATTTGGGAATTCTCTTTATCAGATATTTGATTATTCCTAATATATAATTCTTAACTCTTTATGGTAATAGAGTTTATTTTACACTAATGTGATTTATACTTTATCTAATTATTTAAATTTATTTCTTTTTAAAAAAATTTTTCAAGTACATTTGTCTCCATTTACCTGCCATCACATTCCCCTGCCCCAACCAACTCCACCTTCCCCCTTCAATCCTTCCCTACCTTTGCTTCTTCCATGTGTCCTTCACACCTGTTCCTTGATCTGACCCTTCCCATTCCCCTCCGTGCTACCCGCCTCCCTACCCCCATCCTCCCTCCCTTATTCCCTCCCTCTAGTCCCTCTAGACCCTCTAGTGTTGTTTTCTTCTTTCTTTCAATGTTCCTGGTCATATTTTCCTTGTCTGCTTGCTTTGTTGATTAGGTTCCACTTATAGGTGAGATCATATGGTATTTGTCTTTCACCACCTGGC